GGTTTATGGCTATCAAATTATCCCGTGTACAGTAATTGAGTGTTTTACATTACGAGGTGCATCTAGAAAGGTTGTTGTCTTATTGGGGAGTTAACAGGCCAAAGAAGGTTCGAATTTCTAGACGATCCATTGTGTGTCATGCTGCCGGCATTTTCGTGCTCAAAGTGAAGAAAGCCATGCTCAGAAGGATGTGATTCGCCATGGGAGTAGCCTGGCGCTGTTGACGCAAGGGGCGATAAGATGACCACCTTGGCAAGTTCAAAGACCAGGCTTGTTCTGCCATCGGACGTTGGTGATGTAGTATGAGTGACTTAGTCAGCATTTCTGGAGTGAGCTGGATGTCGAATCCAGCCTGGTTACTCTGAGTCGCTTTGAAATCAGAGCGGAGCCAGAACGCAGTTTGTCCTGGAAGCCCCGGAACTGTCATCGAGTCCTTTCATGTGTTTGCTTGTAACCTACTCGTAGGGACATCCTGGATTGGGGCCGTAGAGTGTGAGACAACACTGATTTATGATCCTGCAGGAAGGCGTAGTGGTAGTATCCTTGCGGCGTGTTTGATCACGGCAAGCCAATCACTGGCGGGCGCTGATGCAGGTTTGAGCGCTGGGATGGGCCACATTCACAATAGAAGCATAACTCGCACATTCGCTGCCTGCAATGGGGTGACATAAAACCTGACGCACCAGCCCTCTGACGTTGTATCCCAGCGTGATATCAACACGTACAGCCGCAACATGCGAAGCAGGAAAGAGTTATTTTTACCCCCCTTGGACTCGAACAATGATACATGGCATTTCAATCAATCGCTTAGAGTCGACATTGATCCTGATAATCCAAGAAAATGAAGTCCGTACTGAGATTCTTGAAGAGGCTGGGTGCATTTACACACACTATAGTGCCGTACCTTTGTAAGTACCTTGGGTCTAGTTGAGGGTGATAAGGGAGGTTAGGAGGTTTCCTCTGGGCGCTGGCACGATGGAGGAGAAGCACCCCCAGGATAGAACCTGTTTTCCTCTCTACCTCAAAGGGAGGGGTCATGGGCCGCCTGATTGCAAACTACGTATGAACGGATGGGCGCCAATATGTGAGCATCTAATGTTCTCGCTGGCTGCTCTCAGGCTGGCGCTCGATCAGTATTAGCCAGGTCCACCAAAACTCGGCTGGGGTGATCACACGAGGGGTCTGGCTGCGCTACTAACAGAATGCGCTATCGTTTACATGAGCGCCGGGGCTAACACCACCCAAAACTCACCGCAGCGATGTACCCCGCTGTTAGTCCCTGCTGGAGTGGCATCACCCAGCTTGTTTGTCCAGTGCAATTGAGACCTTGAGGGAGCTTCATCAAAGCAACCCCTCTGCTACTGCCCATCATCTAGCCTTTGACGGTGCAGACTCGGAGAGGCTTCCAGTACGAAGAGCGACTGCCTCGACCTTGCTACATACTTGCCTATATTTTCCTTTGCCTGCCGAGCCTGGTGTTATCTGGGCCAGTGATGCCGTAATTGACCGTCTGCGGGTCTTGACGTATGTACCGTACGTGACGCCTGGATACAATACCTCTCACTACTCGCATCTATCCATCAGGCGAGGTGAGGTGAGGGACCGATCACCCAGCACTTCGTTCCAGAAGCTGCCACATCGCACACTACCCCATCCTAAGGCCACGAAGCCGACCAATAACAACGACTCTCGCGAAGCCTTCGAAACAAACCCATCCATCCCGTTCAACGGCTGCGGAGACCCGGCGGATACTGTCGGCGAGCGACAGACAGACTGCATCCAAACTGTGAGCTGTATCCGGACAGCTGCAGCTCCAGACCTACGGAAGCTCCGCAACGGGTCCCAGCTACACAGCGAGCGTAGCCCACCAGTCGCTGATTGTCCACGCGATACATTGTGTGCTGAGATCCTGGCCAGGTCTGCTTGTCGCCAGATAGGATAACCGCTTGCCTCACCCAGCACTCCAGAGCCCCTCCCGACGCCAGTGTTTCTCTACCCACCTGCTTAGAGACCTCGATAGCCACCGGCTAGACGAATAGAGTCACCCCACGCCGCACCACTCTTCCCAACATCTCGCCCGCCTATACCCAGCTTCTGGATGCAGACGTCATAGCCGCCAGTCTGCATGACGCTCGGTTTGGACGTCGATCCCGACCGCGAAGGCATATTTAACATCATGGACGGACTGGACGGTCGAGTGTCGGCCGACATGATGGGATCAGGCGATGCGTGGAGGAGAGGAGACACGCTGCAGCACCACTCACGGATCTTTAGCCAGTTTCTCGCCCACGATGACACAGACGACAGCAGCCTGGAGGGCCGGTTCTTCGTACCCTCGTACCTTCGAGGTTCCACGTACATGCGCAAACTCGCCGAGGCGCACAGGACGAAGCAGAACGAGTCGAAGCGGTCTGCCGGGAGTGACCTCGCGGCCGACATATCAGCATTTCCAGACCCCGTTCCGTCTGGATCCCACAGAGGCCTGTCTCATCAGATTATCGAGAGACAGTCGTCGTCCCAGGATGAGGATGTCTTGACGTCGCTCCCTTCAAAGTGGAACAAACATGACATGTGGTCCAATATCGAAATCCAGCCAGATGGCCGGACTGTGAAGTATACCGGGCCCAGGACTCATAACGAACGTGATCATGAGGCCAGCGCTGTTCGGGCTGAGAACCACATGCCCGCCCAGTGTGGTATTTATTACTATGAGGTAGAGATTGTATCAAGTAAAAAGGACGAGTAGGTGACACGATCGATCACCGCAGTAACCATGAATTGAGGGTCGCTAACCCGTTGTAGTACCACCATCGCTGTCGGCTTCTCAACAAAGAACGCAACCTTGTCCCGATCGATCGGCTGGGAGCCTGAATCTTGGGCATATCATGGGGATGACGGGAGATGCTTCACAGCCCACAACTCAGGAAGACACTTTGGTCCGCCTTTTAACCAGGGAGATGTTATAGGTTGCGGGGTCAACTTCCGCGAAAACACTGCCTTCTTCACAAGAAACGGCGTCAAGATTGGTAAGGAACCTTAACCAAAATCGGGAGGGTCATCGTTTTGAGACTGACACACACTCGTAGGAAGCGCTTTTGATGACCTTCGGGGAAAGCTGTACCCTGCCATAAGTCTTAAAAAACCTGGAGAGACCATCCGCGCCAACTTTGGCCAGCATCCTTTCGTGTACAATATCAACGATATGGTGAAGGTATGTGAATATGGGACATGATGGTTCATACAAGATCATCTAACATCGCTCAGGAACAACGAGAAAAAATCCAGAGGGATATCGAGGCGACCACCACGTCTCATCTGGACCCTGACCTGAACGAATCAGAGCTTCTTCAAACTCTTGTCTTGCAATTTCTCCAACATGACGGATACGTGGAGACGGCCCGTGCTTTTGCGGACGAAATAACCGTTGAAAAGGAAGCGCTATCGTTGGATCCAGATGCCAAGGTCGCTGGCACCAGCATTAAGGATGATGAGGATGCCAACAATAGACAACGTAAGTCTCAAAGGCTCGAACGAGAGATCGTAGATGCTGACAACAGAGTAGGTATCCGAGCGGCAATACTAGAAGGAGACATCGATAGGGCTCTTAAGTACACAACGACGTACTATCCTGACGTATTGGACCATGACGGATATGTCTACTTTCGCTTGCGATGCAGGAAGTTTGTGGAGATGATTAGGAAAGCTGCTCAGCTGAGATTGTCGATGGATAAGCCCAGGAACAATGGCCATTTGGGAAGCTCGATCTCCCAGCTCATGGATGTGGATGAGAACATGGAATTAGACGAGGAGCATCTATCGTCGGAGATTGATGAGCTCGAGCGGAGCATGCTGAAGTATGGTCAGACTCTGCAGGCAGAGTATGCCAACGACCCGCGGAAAGAAGTTAGCCAGGCCCTCGCCGACATCTTCCCTCTGGCCGCCTACGTGAACCCGCTCAAAGAACCCATGTTCAGCCATCTACTGGACAGGTCGGGTCGGGTGGCCGTGGCCGAGGAGCTCAACTCGGCCATTCTACGTGAGTTTTACCGACCATTTCTCTTCGGCCACTTCTTGGATGTAACAAGACTAACTGTTTCCAGTGTCTCTGGGCAAGTCATCACGCGCAGCTCTCGAGAAGGTTTATGCTCAAACCACGGTCCTCCTGGAGGATCTGCGGCAAGAGGGTGGAGTTGGGGCTTTCGTCTCTGTCCAGGATATCGTTGACGACATCTCTAAACATCACCAATTCTAAACCCTCAAGTCGTCCGGGTCACCAAGCGGTATCGCCATATGGGCACCCCCGCACTTACATTCTAATAGTGATGAATTCGCACCTCCCTTTTTTACTCTCTCGATATTGGTGACGTCTTTGGAAGCTTTTTGGTGTTTGGGCGTCCGATTACGACTCTATCTCCTGTCTACCACAAACGCATCTCAGGAGCGGTTGGTTTCTTTGATCTGGCAATGGCGTGGCTGGGCGTTAGGTCCCTTAAGCTGGAGAAGGCGGCGACGGGCACGTTCTCGCCCCCCCTTCCCCATGATCCCGCATGCACATTGGTTCCGCATGTCCAAGCCCGGGATCTGCTTTTTCTTTCCTCTTGTGTACATCACTTGTCTTTGGGTTTTAGACTCGATGGATCATGCCGGTTAAACACTGATGCAGAGCGGGTTGACTGGACCTGCCCTGTAGGGCGGTATGGCGAGGGCTTCTCGGAATTCAAAGTCTCTAGTCACGCCGCAGTTATAGTCAATCACAAATTTACAAGAATATTGCCATAGAGCCGGATGAAAAGGGTCAACTATACAAAATCCACGTATAGTTGATTATTGTATTACTGATGTGTTTTCCAGCAGATCTGCCATTTCTATTGTTTCCACTACACCGATTTTTCCATTTGATAATCTTACAGAGCGTTCAATATATTCGTACAAGATTCGTTGTCTATTTTTGGGGTCGGATGGGTCGTTATCGTGGTCTTGGTCGTCGGGTTCCCCCCTCTCTACCAACACCACTCGTACAGTCTCTGCCGGTGGGCGACCAGCTTCTTGAACCCAGCCAGGGACTTTTGCAGTTCCCCGTCCCTGTCCCAGGCTAGGGTCTCATCCAGGATCAGCCAGGTGTAGGAGAAGACCTCGGCGTCGAAGAGCCCCGGGGAGCCCGCGCCGAAGAACCAGGCGTCGTTCCCGAGGAGGGTGTCGAGGGCGGCGAAGGCGGTCGCGGAGTCGGTGTACAGCTGGGCGGTCCGGACGTAGGGCGTGCGCGTGGTCTTGAGGATCTCGGTTGTGGCGGCCGCGATGAGGGTGTGGTGTAGCGAGTAGGCGAGGAGGGGCGATGGCGGGAGGTAGAGCGTCTTGAGGAGGGAGGCGTTGGAGGGGTCAATGTAGAGGGAGTAGAGCTGGGGGATGGATTAGCCGGTGGTTGAACTACGTAAGGTCCAAGAGATGGGAGAGACGTACCCATGCCGGGCGGATTGATTGCGCGATGAGGGAACGATATGCTTCCTGCCGGTTGGACTCTATCGTGGGGATCTTCCTGGTGGCATTGTCCTTCGCATACTTTTGGATCTTACCACCCGTTAAGGGGGGTGATGATCCGGAGTTTGTGGAGGAAGGGAGGAGGAAGGGTAGCGCGCCAGAAGGCGAGGCGTGGTTGTTCGATGGGATGAGGTCGACGTCGACGCCGGCGATCCTCAGGAAGGTCTGTACAAGCAACAAGCATTTCTACGATTAGCTACCAGTACGTGGCATTAGGATACACAGGCAACTCTACGAACCTGCCATTTAAGACATGACGGATTAAAGCTGGGGCGAGCACAGTCACCATCGAGTGTGAATACATAGAGAGATGGGCGAGCTCGGGTGGGTTGAGGAGCGCGGGAGGGGAGCTCCTCTGCGGCGTAGACGCGGAGGGGGAAGAGTTTGAACAGGTCCCTGACGGGCGCAGGGACGGTGACCCAGCTGCGCGAATCGGGAGGCATCACGTCGGATCCAGCAGCGCGCGGACTCGCTTCTCGTCGAGGTGGGATAGCAGAACCCGAGCGAGCAAGCAGACTCGGCGTGGGTTGGTGCGTGTGGTCGGGTGTCAGCAGAAAGCTTGCGGTCCGGAGGTTGAACTGGCCGAAACCCGTTTGGTGGTGCATCAACGCACACACAGAGCCACCAATCTCGGCAGAGCTCGGCGAACCCTACCCCAGGCCCAACGCAAGGATTCTACGGCAGGGGCCTACATTAGCGATGGCCAGGCGGGGCGGCCTGAGCCCGTAGACCCCTCAGAAAGACCCCGCAGAGCTCCCGAGCCGCATCAATCTCAGTGACCTCACCTCACCGCCTTGTTTAACCGGCGGCCACGGTAGATGGTGTGATTTTTGCCGTCGAGTGGACTGACACACGGCTGGCGAGCGGTTACATACGCACATGCATATACCCATGCCGGCTATTCCTTGCTGACCCCTCGGAAAATAAAAGCCACATCGACGGTGCGGCGTCGTGTTTCGGCAGCGCAAGCCGGCCTGGTCGCGGCCGATGCTACATCTCACGGGCACTCTAGATTGGCCGTTGTGGGATACGATGTTGCGGCAGCTGCAGGCGACGCACCAGCAGTAACGTATGGCAGGAGAAGCGGAATACAACTACAACATAACCATTGTCTCGAGGACTAACCGCCGCTGGAGAGCGTTAAATCCATGACTCTGGATATTTTCAGACCCTTTTCCCTGGAGAATCTGATGCTCCACATGATTTCTGAGGCTCTCATATTTTGATCGTAAGAATTGACTGTCGGTCTCTGGAAGGCGATGATTGTAATCAAAATGGCCAGCGCGCCGGTTGAGAAAACGAAGCAGAGACTCACGCAGCCAGTCGAGCTTACCCAGGATTTCAGCATCCAGATACTCGATAGTTGAAATGCCAGGATCTTTCCGAGTAAGTTCAATAATACCCGTGAGCATATTCCTTATGATTGTCAGATCGTTTGGCTCATCATGAAGCGAGGGAGTGAAATTGAACCCCTGGCAAAGCATGCCGTCGAGAACGATTAAAGGTTCAATGAAGAAATCCTCCAGCTTCTGGAGAGCTTCAGGCACGTGCTAAGGAAGCTGACTCTTGAGGGTGGCGATGTTGGCCTGGCATACTGCAGATAGCTCGTTGATGACGAGTTGTTTCTCTCGGATCCAACCTCTGTATGACCCATCAAGTGCTGTTGTGAATAAGTATGACATCTTGATGGGATTGGGCTTTTGTGACCGCTCAATTTGATACTTCTAGAAAGGTCATGAATATAAGAGCTAAGCCGAGAAACAGAGTCTTTTATACAGGCGCTATGTATAAAAGTAACTATGTGGCACACGAGGCCAGAATGGTTCACAGATGTTTGAGTTGAAACATACTTTCTCTCCGTCTTAAATTGGATGTATATGCATTAAGAATCAGTCTTATAACCTATCATTCAGTCGGATCCCTGGATTCTCAATGTTGGGGGTTTGTTCTCGTCCGTAGCAATCGTCTGGTGTCTCTGAACACCTACATGACAATGAAGATGAGTTACCATGCGATTGAACTACTTTTAAAAAATTTCGGTGGGGAGACTGGCGGTCCTGAAGTGCTGAGATTAAACACTCGTCACAATAGTTTAGTCCACAAGGCTCCAGCGATGGCGGACACTCAACAATGAACTGAAACTAGCCTGGCCGTGGGCAAATCTGCCCCTCTGAGAATGTGGCCTGAATGCTTTCACATTCGGGGAAGGACACAAGCTCATGCTTTTCCCGCCATCCAGTCTGTCTCAAGGGCAACTAGGTAACCTAGTCGTCCTTTGTTTCATTCTGACTATACCCTAACAGCGTGTTTTGCATTCTATGGCTTATTACCTTGAGTAAAAATAACAGGTCCAGTGTCCATCATAATCAGAATCGGACTCAGACCTTCTCCAAGGTAAGGGGAAGCCATTCTAGCTGGCAGAAGGGAACTTAGCTGGGCCACTTCCGTTTTGAATCAAGTCAACTTGTCACTGTGTCTATTCCAAATTTACTACGCAGTCCGTGTCGCCCTTTTATTTTCTCCTTTGCCGCCAATGGGAAGTCTTCGGAGACAAATTCTCTAGAACCAATGGGAACAAAGGGTTCGCTTCGAATGTGCGGGGAGCCAATGGATGCGACCATCCGTACGGAATTTACTGACATCGCTCCAAACAAAGCGATGAAGCTGCCTACGATGGGAACTGAGCCGGCGTATCTATTTCATCATTAAAGATCGCTCCCAAGGGGCTCCGTGAGAAATGAATGAGAATCATAATTCATACATGATGTCTATCTCTCTTGGTTTTTTTCCCGAATTAACTAAATTTAAGCCCCCGGCTGACAAAGGTGATAATATTCGTCAATCGGTAGGAGTATGTGCTTCCAAATCAAAAAGACGGTGGGTCTAAGTGACACTCTACCTCGATTGAATATTCTCCCGGCGGAAAGCCGGCAGGGGTGGGCTGGGAAAGCAACCTCTCCTTGCATATGCAACCCTCGTACGGGTTTTTAAATGCGAGAAGGAAAAAAAGAAGGTTGCCAGAACACTTGGGATCCGGCTCCACCCAGATCTAAAATGGCGCTGCTTGGTAGCATCATGAGGTGCGGGATTTGGAAGGTCTTGAGCAAGGCCGTGCGGTGTGAGCGGGACTCGAAGGGATGCACAGACTCGACTTTTCCCGAGGTTTCCCGGTGGCTGCAATGCTGCTATCTCTGCCACTGCAAACCTTACATTGCGTGTTGACTGATGGATCACCACTAATGCCGGCCGGCCTTTAGCCAAGAATGACGGCCTTGGGTCCGAGTGCTTATCTGTTTTGGCCAGGGTATGGACGTCTCGCGGCGTAGACGTCATGTCCGTCTGGCTGCCTCGAGACGAGAATCGAGCCGAGAGAATGGTTTACCCCAGCTTTCACATAGGGCTGCGGTGCCTATTCCTCGCTCCGTAATGGAAAAATTAAGGAAGAAGCAAGCCATGTGTTCTAGAGTCTCCAAGCCCAACGAGACACTGAGGCTGCAAGTCTGCCCGTGTCCAGGCTCTGGACTATTGGGCGGGACGTGGAATGGGCATGGGTGTCGTTATTTCTCCAGGGTCGTAATGGAGCTGTGATGGAGACTGGTCCCGGAACGATCTCGGCGTCCCAGCCAAGGGTCCATTGCAGCGAATTTTTCTTTTCTCTTGGCCCAACTGCTGATATCTTCAGGATGGAAGGCCCGAAATGAAACCATGATTTGCACGTGTGGCAAGCCTCTTCAATAACAAGGTGGAGGTGCTCTGCAGCGATATAGTATGATTCTGACACTCGGGCCTCGATCCCTACCTACCCAACCTACGTGTCGGCCATGTAGGTCGTTTTCTCGGCCTGGTGGTTTTAGGCCTCGGGTTTGTCGCCGACTAGTTCATGTCCATCTCAGCCAGCCATGCATGTAGGGACCAAGGGGATAGCGAGTATTTCGTGAGAGCTAGGAGAGAAGGCGTGAGCAGAGCATAGACCGGCCAACGGGGCGACTGGAGCGCTTAGACCTGCGCATTTGGTATCTTCTGGCTAGCCGGATGACAGTGATGGCGCTCATTATGGAGCTTGTCGCGTGGATTTCAATGGGGACGGATGGCCGCAACCCCATGGGTAGCAGCGGTTAGACCTGCAGGTACTCTCACCGTGCTCGCTGCCTATTCGCCATCCAGGTATACTCACCCAGTACCCGTCGGGAGAGAGATTTCACCCTCCATCACCAGCGAGGCCGTCGTGCCTCGCATGTACTCCCCACTACGGACGATACCTTGGCCGCTAGCCAGGCCTTTGTCTCAGTTCCTGCTTCTGATCAGCCCTGGTGCTTGGCCCGGAAAGGCCCCTCCTCTGTTATTGCCTATCTTGTATCCGTAGGCAGTATTCATCGGCAAGCGTCAGACGAGTCGTGCCTTCCTCACCCCGGCGGGGGCAATGAGATATGGAATAATTGAACGGACCAAAAGTCTTATCATGAGGCTTCCTGGTCTGAGACTACTAATATCGTGAGCAACACCCCCCAAATCCCGTTCCCCTCACCTCTATCATTTTCCCCAGACAACGATCACCAGACTACCAGCCGCCACAACCGCTGATATTCAGGCATCTTGTGCAGTCGCAACACAGTACATCACGAAGCCCGACGGACGAACCCTGCGTCTTGCGCTACGCTACCTCACACAGCAGCCAACCCCCACGCAGCCAGCAAGGAACATCTCGAAGCGACTGCATTAGCCTTAGGATCCAACCCACCATCATCCTCCCTCGCTCTGACCTGCTCCCCCCTCCAATAGAGACGAGGATCTAGAGTTACCGCGGATCCATTGCAAGGTCATTTCCCACTTACACACCATTATAAGCCAACCTCTTCACACCCTCTGTGAACCAGAAATTCCCAAGGTCTCTGGCAAAAACATCAACAATTCAAAATCATCGGCCTCTTTCAGATTACATACAGACAAATCCGAAGTGCTCCAGTAACTTTGTGGGGACGCTTCCAAGGCCGCTAGCGCATCCTCGACATCATTTCCCGAGATCGACATTCTTCCCCAGGCCCGGCCTAGGCTTAAGTACACCGGCGAGGCTTCTCGCCCTTCGGACGGCACCCGTTGAAGCTTGCTTTTTGGGGCGACTAAGGACTAAGAATACTTCATAAGCTGCACCCCCCGCGTTTTATTGGCAAAGTGACGTGAACACTTCCGAATCAGTCGATTCTCAGAGGCCCGGTCGCAAGCTTTCAGCTCTTACGACACCACCATCCTGCATAATTACCGCCGTCTTGCTTGCGTCTCTGCCTCCTTCTCTTCCTGGATACGGGCGGATTTTATGAAAGATCGATCGGATCGCTAGTCTTGTCAGGTCACATCGCAAAACGAGAGCTTGTCATTCTTGGCCGTCTACAAATATATTATCCGGTTCCCGCCCGACTGCATCTCTCCCCCTTCTTATCCCAAACTGCCCCAGTCGTTAGTAGGCCAGACTCGCACACCTTTTGACTTAATCTTCGGTCGTTTATTCCACCTACGAGATACCAGTATAAATCAACTCTCTTCACAATCTTTTCATTAGTCGAAATGGATTCCAACTCCAACGCTTCGGGAAGTGCGCCGACCGCCTCCTCTTCTTACTCCCAACAGTCGCCCAGCTCGACGAGCATCCCCGTGCCCGCCCCCTCGCAGGCTAAGGCTCCGTCAACTGACCCCTTCCTCAAGGACTTTACCCTTGTTGCGGAGGCAGCAAAGCGGGCACAGGTCGCAGTCATGGTACGCGACTTCGAGGAGTGTGGCTTCTTCTAAAACAGCAAACATTTATCCAGCCTAATAATCGGCCTTTATTCGCGGCTGAAGCAAGACAATTTCATCACATCCTGGCATGTGATGTTTATGTATGCCTCGGGGCACGAGACCACAATGACCTGTCAGGTCAGCGTGACGCAGCAATTGTCCAGCTGCTGCCACGAGTGAGCTTCAATCGCCTCGGCGACACCGAATGCTGGAAAATCCCATGGGTCCTCCCCAATCTCGAGCTGATTATGGGAAGTGGGCTGTCTCATATCTGCTGGAACTATTTATCTTGCTATTTCTTTTGCCTTATGGTTTTCTTTTTCTCTTCGGTGCATTGTTTTGGATTTTGGCGTCGGGCTATAGGCTGAATGCATCATAGGAGGGTGGCAATATTGATGTGTGACGTTTCATTCGGTTCGTTGGGCACACACGGCATAGCGAGGCGGGTAAGATGAGGGCTCGATAGATTTATCCCCCTTCATGACCATTTGTGATTTATTCGCTATTGATAGGAATTAGGCGCATTGACCTAAAATGATGACTATAATATACCAACACGCTTCTTCCTTATCACCACCCCCCAACGAACGTGACATGTCTGATGAGCAAAAAACCGAGGTCGAAAAATGAAGAAATCCACGCCCGTATATCCATTAGCAGGCGCGCTGCTGCGAGTTACCGTGAAAGCGAAGTTCCTAGTGCTGCATCCTCAGAATTAACATGTGGGCATCATAGCCCCGCTACGCAAGAGAAGGTTGGATAGAGAAGCGGAATTAGGCTGGGTGCTCCTCTGAACAAAGGCATACATCCTCCAAGAAGTCATTATATAGCTCACAAGGACAAAATTAGAAGTGTTCCGATAACGATACCGCGCTATTTGAGAAAATAATACGCGACCAAGCAGTGGAATTGTACGAGGCGCTCTACAACAAGGACATTCTGCCCCTAGTAGCTATCACATGGAGGTAGGTAGACGGCAGTTAAGACTCCAAGCAGCTCAAGCTGTAAATCACCCCCCTAATCTTCTGCCAGTTCACGAAGGCTCCGAACCAAGATACGAGTCATCTTGGTTGAAGAGGGAGGGGGCCGACTGGATGGTGGCCCAGACGAGCCAGGAAACACTGAAGAAGACATCTTCGAACTCGTTGGAGTTCTTGTTCGCGCTGACACGGCCGACCCGGAACAATTTTACTCTTAGATTCACGGAAGGCCTTCACAGTCACGAGCCTGGATACATACCTTACAGGACATATGGAGTCCTGGGGATTATCTACCATGTTTCTTTCCGGGCCGGATGAGTCCACCTGGATATGTGTTTTATAACATCGTTATAGACCAGGCTGTCTGTATTTGTAGGATTCATAGTCCGCTCTGATTTTCCGACTTTGCATTTTCTTAGATGTTGGAGTATAGAATCATGTTTAGCTTCCCTTGCGTACGCTCTAGTATTAGCACAGGCATATTAAAAGTTAATATTCGACATAGTTGGTGGTGCTTGAAAGGTTGGGAGCTAGGTTTTGGCATTTTGGCCGCCTCCAATTTGAGATCGCGAGACCGCTTCCCGTATACCTTTACTTGAGTAGAGACTTTGAGTAGCAAACCACTAGCCTCGAACATAGGTACATGTTCGAGCGATGTACTTTCAAGCGTTATTCAATACTACAGGCCAATTGGAGTGCTACCATGCGGGATGGCTGGAAAATTAAGATAGCTCTCTTTACTGGTATATAAAAGACTGGACGAGATGGACTTGAAGCGTTATAGGAGGATGTCCTGAGCCCCGCTTCACCAGAGCTCAACGTGGTGTATACTCCAGGCATGGTAGTGTATGTGCTTGTCTATACAATAATATTTACAGATGGAAGTTTAGATCTTCGAGACCAGGGATGCGCCTCCATCAACCCGGATCAAAGCGCCATTCACGAAAGCCCTATTTAAGACAGGTTGTTAGCAATGACTCCTTCTAAATAGGTATTCGCAGAATGGTCCGATAGACACAATCAGGGTAGTACTGCGTAGACTTACCCAGCTTTGCTGGCCAGGAACAATGAAGCGCCGGCCACATCCTCAGGCTCCCCAGTGCGCCCAAGGGGCATCTCGCTGCGAATGTACTCGCCCATCGAGTCGAGAGTGGCCTTCATCATCTTGGTGGCGAAGGGCCCGCAGGCGAGGACGTTGCTGGTGATGTGGCGGGGGCCGAGGTCGCGCGCCAAGTGCGAGGAAAGATGGTGCAGTCCCGCCTTGGACGCGCTGTAAGCGTAGTTGTTGATGATGGGGACCCGGAGACCGTCGATGCTGCCGATGTGGATGATCCGCGCGGGGTCGCCGTGGGTGCCGGCGGCGGTGAGGAGGGGCAGGCAGAGCTGGCTGAGGGTGAAGGCGCGCTGGAGGTTGAGGGTGAGGACCTTGGTCCACGCCGCGTCCGGGTACTCGTCGATGCTGGCGCCCCAGGCGGCGCCGGCGTTGTTGACGAGGACGTGCAGGCCCTTGGGCTCGAGGGATGTGATGCGGGCGACGAGGTCCTCGCAGGCCTTGAGCTCCTGGAGGTTGGCGGGGATCGCGACGGGGACGGGGGCGCCGGCGCGGGTGGCGATCGGGGTGAGCTCGGCGACGGCCTGGTCGAGGGCCTTGGGGTCGCGGCCGGTGAGGTAGACTTTTGCGCTGTTGGTGACGAAGCCTTCCGCGATCATGCGGCCGATGCCCTTGGCTCCTGTGATGGGTTGCGTTAGACGAGGTTGGGTAGTGTATGGCTTTTGTTTTTATCTTACCGCCGGTGACCAGGACGACCTTGCCCTTGACATTGAACAGACTGGCGGCGTCCATAGCTCGCGCGCTTTGTCTTCAATTGCTGGTTGTTGGACGGTATGAATTCAGTCTTCAATCGATTACCGTCGTTCTCCTACTCTTTCAAGACAGACTGCTGTTAGCGATTTTGGGACGGTTGACAGTGAGACGAGGTTACACCCAGTCGTCGATTCGGCTTCATTTCGCTGTCGAACGTGCCTCGGCACGACGTCATTTCCGGTTTGGGTCAGCTCCGGGGAACTGAGCTGCTCCTACCTCATGCATGTACCACATACAGCAGGCACGAACTGGTGCCAGAAAAAAATAGAGAATGGCTACCACATTACACCAACTGTAATATGTGAGCTGTTACTTTTGCATCTGTAATTGACAGATAATCACAACAATGCGCAGACAATAATTTTGCATGCTGCATGCTGTCGTGATATCGTGCTGCTTGATATGTCGGTCTTTCGTCCGAAGTCAAAACCTGCAGCCTCGGTGTGCCATGTCCCACCTTCCCACCAGAAACCTCATAGAGTCAATGGAAATTGCCCCGGATGAACGAGCAAGTCAATGGCAGAGTCCAAAATGATCTCTACTGCGCCTTAGCCAAGCCATCTCCCGTCTTCGCTCCAATTGACACTCAAACCAGCCCATGGGGTTTGAGCCATCTTAGTCACGCGAGCAGAGCCCACCCGTTTGACCCCTCCCCCACCAAAGCCATCTTAGCTTGATCGCTATTAATCATCGACGCCAACATAGGCTACAGCTCTCTCCATTTGGCCGCATCATGCTCGCCGAAGTCCGGCTTCTTCTTCCCGAAAATCTCGGGTCTTGTTTCTGGCGCCATCAAATCATCAATTGATCAATTTTCTGAGCCTAGCGATCCAAAGAAAGCATCAATATCACATCATCGCATTGCGTGGGTGGGGGAGTTTCGCAAGTCGCCTCCATCGTGCCATACCGAAATTACCCTTCAACCGAGCAGAAATAGACCAAGACCATCCGCTTTCCCCAACCTCCAGCACAATAGAATCGCTCATTCCTCGTCGGGTTGGGCCTGACCTCAAACCTCATCATGGCAAGCGCCCCTCAGCTGTCTGAGCTATTTGGCGCAATCCCCGTCTCTCAACATCCGAAGCAATGGGATAAATGCTACAAGGAATCGCTGAGCCCGTGGGATCGAAAAATGCCCTCTCTAGCGCTGGCAGACCTTCTCGTCCAACGTCCAGACCTCCTCCCGCCTGCGCAAGAACTCGACCCCCGCGGTAGCCCTCTTCGTTCATCCCCCACCAGCCCCGCAGACTCGCGGTCCGCGCTCGTTCCCGCCTGTGGTTTCGGGTGGGACGCACTGCTCCTCGCCTCGTTCGGTTACAATGTCTGGGCTCTCGATGTGAGCTCGACGGCCATTGAGAAGGCCAAGGAAATCGAAAAGGAGTCTCTAGAAAAAGACTGGTACAAGACACGCGAACATTTCGACCGGGGGTCCATTACCTGGATAACGGCCGATTTCTTCGACCAGGACTGGGCCAAAAATGCAGGTGTTGACGGGACCGGCAAGTTTGATCTAATATTCGACTATACGGTATGCCTCCTTCTGGAACCCAAAACTGCTGTTGTGTGCGTCACATTAACTCCGGATCTAGTTTCTCTGCGCCCTCCCACCTCAGACGCGACCCCAATGGTCCCAGCGCATGGCCGAACTCCTCCATCACAAAGGCCGTCTAGTCTGCCTCGAGTTCCCCTCAGGAAAGCCGCTGTCGAGTGGCGGGCCGCCGTGGGGGGTCTCTCCCGAAGTGTACGAGGCTCTTTTGACCTGCCCCGGCGAGCCCATAGAGTACAACAGCGACGGCTCGGTCAGCAGTCCACCAAGCCCAAAACCTCGAGACAACGCCATTCACCGACTGAGTCTCAGCAAACCGACCCGGACGCATCAAGCTGGTACCAATGAAGACGGGACTGTCAATGATTTCATTTCCGTTTGGAGTTTTTAGAGTCTGTTTCCACCTCATTATGCATACTATGCAAGTTTGCTGGACGCTTGGGGAAAGACGAAAGATATATGATGATGATGAAAGTGCTTCGGGGCACGCCAGAGCCACGTATATATGCAATGGAAACGAAGTCATGGGGTTTCCGTTCCCCATACACCAGGATGGTATGACTTTTTAGTCTTACCTCCTTCACGTCGTTTTCCTCAACGAGTTGTAATGCTCTCCAAGCCCGTAGCCGTGCCTGTAGTACGCCAGCCATATCGTCTTGCCCGACGCTTTCCCCTCTTCCTCGCCAATCTTTTCCATCCTTCCATCCTGGATGACACGGATCTCGACTCCGTACCGCCTCGCCAGCGCCATCAGCTCCAGCTGTCCTCCCCACTCAGCCGTATCTCGCATCTTGGCCGCGTACGGCTCCAGATCCTCCTCCAAGAACGGCGCGAAGTCATCCGCATTCTCCACCATGTAGCTCGACGCCGCCCTCCGCACAGCCTTGTACTCCGGCTCGCCCTGCGTCTCCCCCAGGGAGACGTCGTTCTGGCGCAGCTGGTCCGCCACCGCGGAGAAGAGACAGTGCCCGTCCGGCGCAATCTCCTTCTCCACCAGGCCGGACGCCTCGAACGTCTTCTTCATGTACTCGCTCTCGCGCGCCCGGTGGTCCGTCATGCCCGACGCCTCCTCCTCCGCCCGGACCGCAGCAGCCTCCTGCTCCGCCGCGCGGCGAGCCAGCCGCTCCTTCTGACGGTTCCGCTTCTTGCCACCATTATTCTCGCTCGGCTGGCCGTTCGTCGTCGTCGTCGACGATGGGGTAATGTGTAGTTTCTCTGTCGCCTTCTCGAGGACCCCCTCCAGCTTCCCCTCCAGCTTCCCCAGCTTGCCGCCCTCCTCGCTGCCCTCGTCCGCGATCTCCTCGTCCGCATCCCCGCCGCCACCGCCGCCGGTGAGGGCAGCCACCTCGGCGGCGTGCCTCTCCCTCGTCGAGCGCTCCATCTCGGCGCACTCGTCGTTGACGCCCTTGCGCGTCTTCTTGGTGGCGTTCTTCTTCTTGCTCGTCACCTTCCCCTGGAGGTCCTTGAGCTCTTTGCGGTGCCGGGCCTGCATCTGCTCGAGGGTCTCTGCCCCCTCCATCGTGGCGGTCGAATTTGTTCGGGGAAACGAGCGATTGGAAGACGATTCCGGCTGTGGGAGGATCCGAGATCTCAAAAAAGAGGGAGAGCAACTGCAATAGAATGCCTTTAATATTCTCAAGGAGGATCTGGCTGAACAGCTGTGGTGACAAAAAGGTGGTGGGCGATCATCGAGAAGAGCTGTTTAATCGGGTAGGCTAGTGGTGGATTTGGTGGGGTTTGTGCGAGGTATCTGCAGGCGGGTGGGAGCTAAAAGCACCCCTACGAGATAAATCTCAGCCTCCACCTAGACTTCCCCTTTGCCATTCTGTCATTCCTCTTGGGCACTAACAATCGACAATGCAATATAATTATAATATATTTCACAGAACAATCAAGCTGTTCCATCCAAAGAAGCTATCTAAATGGCCAACACTAAAGAGACTGTTTTCTCGTACAAGTGATTGATTCTACACGGAGTAGGTCGAGCTCGAAAACCAAGAGCCAACTCTTACTCAACTAATCTACACAACATGATATCCCAAACAAGATGGACGACCATGGTCCATGCCAAGCTTACCAGTCCAGTCCTGCCTTGGCTATTGAACATGTGAGCCAGAAAATCGGTACGATGAATCTCTTCTGTGAGAGCCCCAAGCGTGACGAGGGTCTGGCGTTGTCCATAACGCCATGATATAAAAGAAAATTCCATCTATAATGAGCGCCTATCCAACCCCAATACCCTCTCAAAATCCTCGGAAGGGATCATCCCGATATGATTCGTCGTCCCCCCCAATGCGACTCGATCCATAGCGGTCGTCAGAGGTTCGTCGACTTGTCGCCGAGTATTGACCATAGCTATCGCGATACCTGTTTCTGCTACGGCTTCTCCTCCGGCGAGCTTCTTTGCTTAGCCTGCGGCCAATATAACTCGATTCGCTTCTGGCATCTGGATACTCGTCATACTGCGAGCTGGTGAGGGGGCTAATGAATGCTTCCATGCGAACAGTTCCCACCGCGTCGAAAAAGTTAGCCCTCTGGGAGGAGGCCTCCGAGGTTCTTTGCGATATTGTAGGTGCCAAGCCCCAGGCAGCACTACTGGAACCCTGAGACTGATAGATATCAGATGATCCCGCAGTACCAATACTTGCCGCGGCCGTGCTATTAGTCGGGTTGTGGCTCGACGCAGAACTGACAGGGCCTGAGAATCCTCTAAATGAAAGGGGAGGCGGTATATGCCCTCCTGTGTTGCTTCGTTTTCTCCCATGAGCCATGGCTTGACTTCGTTCATTGAACCTGGGGATAAATGGCGGCTCAGCCGCATCCTCTGAGTTCTCCCTAACGTGGCTGCTGCTGATGACGCCCAATGTTTCCGGAATATGGAATTCGGCAACGTCTCCTAACTGAGAAGATTGAGCGCTTTGTATGCTCGGGACACTAGGGACTGCAGTCCTCATTGATGGTGCAGTTCTGCCCTTTGCGAGCCGGATGGAATCGCGAATCCCACCTCGCTTGAGTTTGGGCTGCGGAGGAAACTCGGCGTCAGGCAATTGCGTCGGTTTAACCAGCGGGCCCGGTGCAGAGATCATGTCGGGTATGGCCTGGGATGAATGCGCTAAGAATGACAAAGCTGTAAGCCAGACATAATGACGGTCTGGCGTTGTCGCAGTAAATTTCAAGGCTCGCTGCGGTGTCAGGATGAGAATCGATCTGTTGAAAACAGTTGCCACCCCCTTCGGGGGAGGATTGTCATCCTTCACATCCAGCACTGACTGGATAGTCACTACAAGCATGTTAGCGAGGAGCACAGAGGACAATGGCCACTTTCAAGAGTTGCACTCACATTTCCTCCCCGTCTTGCCCATGAGCGCACTGCCAGAAGAAGGCTGCTTGCTGCTCCAGAGGATGGCCCGCTCATATGGTGCCAGCCAAACCCATCGCTTATGACGATCATTCCCGGCATCATCTTTTACAGTGTGCTCGGCGACAGTAAAGGATTTTCGTCTTCGAACATACTTGAGCATCCACTCGCCAATCATAGTTTGAGCAATAGCATCAACAACGCTTGTGCTTTGGTTGGTGCTTTCAATTGAGGCCGGCTCAGTATTGCTTGTTTTCTCCGTGTTGGTAGAAGGCTTATGAGCGTGTCTTCGATAGTGGCTATTCCCTCGTTGTCGTAGGCGGGGTGTTGTTATGTCGTTTCGAGGTAGTGGCGGGAGACCCGGACTCTCGGGAGCTTCAGTCGAGGGGGACAACGGCGGAGGAGACCGGCTACCAGTCCTGCGTGCGCGTTGGTTTCGGACGATAGCTGTGGCTGATCGCACTTTTCGCAAGCTATTATTTCGGACTACGCCACGGCCAGTACCTCGTCGTTGGAAAGATCCTACCCTAGTTGGGCTTCTCTGCCCATCGCTGGTGGGTGCGCTCATACTAGGATAAGGCTTTCGTGAACTTTCACGTTTAGGGATAGGGAAAGGAGGGTTTGTGACTTCAGGGATACTTGGGCTCCTTGCACGGCCGCTATGGCTGGCAATCCCGCTCTGAATCATGGCAGCTTTACGCATGACGCTGGCGCGATTTCCAGGACCACGTGAGATTGACCCGGCAGATCTTTCATGTCGTCTCACGGGATTTTTACCGGTCTTCCCACTGTACCCGTCCTTCTCGACGAGACTGAAAGAGCTATATACCTCGGTACCGAAAGGTTTAACGGAGCTTCTTCCACTCTGTCTCCTTGACAACAGATCCGGCGATGGGGGGGCGGTTCCGGGTGGGCTAAGTTGACTATTCCGAGTTGTAGATGTGGACTGCGGTCGTGGAGCCGACAATGCTGTCCTGTACTCTGAGTCACTTAGATCATCCTTGTCGAACAACTCGCCCTCGTCAGAGCTAGCTGTATCAAACCCAGCAAACAAGCTGCTAAATCGGTGAGGACGTTTGACAGGCGCCTGCTTCTGGCTTGAGAGCGGGCCATCATCATTATTTCCGGGGTAGGCATCACCGATCTCATCCTTCTCGATAGGCGAAGCCAGTGGAGAGGAAGGGGTCTGAGCACCGGGCCTGTCTGCCAGCCTCCTTGGATTCCGTGGTGGAACATTTCCTGGCAACGGTGTGAATACGCTGTCGGGGTCGACAGGTGGGGAGGGATTAGGTGACGTCGGTCTCGAGGAAATTGAAGATGGTTGAAGATGGTGTGGGAGGAGGGCAATCCGCTTATCCACTTGAATTCCTTCCGTTTGAACCGAAGCTTCACTCGACATATACTGTGCATTCAAGTTTACTTGGCATCCAAAGTTCTTGAAGTGGGGAGGCAAACGAGGCTCTCGTGGAGTTGTTGGCCGGCTCGTTGGCGGCTGGATGCTTATGCTTGGCACAGGGGGGGGAGGTGTCAGCGGCGGTGGAGGGACATATTCACGGGGGCTTGGTGGCAGCCACTCCGTTTGCGTCGATGAAGTGATCATGAGTATAGCGACCTGCTCCTTCACAGGAGGTGGGGTCTCAGGTCGGATTGTAGGTGTCCGTGGTGGGCTCAGCGGCTCTTCAACCGTTTGTGAGGCAGATGACACCATCACACTTCGAACTGGCGGTGTTTCGACGACCAATGGAGGAGTGATTTGAACTCTCTTCTTCCTCTGGTTCGCTTCAACCTCCGAGTCCCCTCGTGGCGACGATTCCAGGTCGGCAGCCTTTAGCTTCTGTAGCACAGGCTCAGGAGTGGCTGGCTTGACAGGTGACATTTTTGGCGAAGGTGGAGGAGAGTATTGAACACCTGTATCAGTATACACAACTGCAGGCTTTGGTTCTTCCTCCGTCTCACCCTCAAGAGTCTCTAGCACGGACTGGTTCACATAGAGCCTGCTCCGTGCGACACTCCCAGACCGTTTCAAGTTTTCA